TAATGTAACGTGTTATTTTTAGTATGTATTTTTAGTAATTGAGAAGAAAGTCGACTAACTATATTAGTGAAAATGGAAATTTAAAAATCAATTTAATTTATATGAAACAGTTACCAACTAATGATAATTCTGAAAATTCGTAACAGACGTTCTTATTGTAATTTAATTCCTTATAGAATATTCTCACACAGGAAACATTTTCTTAAATTCACTTAGACTTCTTTATTTAAAAGATTTCAAAATTTTCTTATTTAATTATAAAAGCATTAATTCTGGAAAATCATAAAATGAACAAATTTAATCAAAATAGTAATAATTTAATTAAACAAATTTCAAAAATATAAATATTTTTAATCATCAATAATGAAAAAATGATTCTAGTAATTAATATTTGTTTTATAAATAAAAATTAAACAAAATCAATTTGCATATAAATAAATTATTTACATCTTAATTTAAGATTTGAATTGAAAAAGATGGCCACAAAATTTATAGACAAGACTAATATTAAAATTCAACAATTCCAAAAATATCCTAATTTTAACTAATATAACAATTTTTCAAAAATATTCAATAATAAAATCCTAATAATTATATAAAATAAAAATGGAGAAAAATCAATATTTATCTGAATTTAATAAAATCCACAAATACATTTAATAAAACAACAAAAAATAATAATCGAGTTTCCTCAATTACACAGATTTTTTGCATATAAAAAAAAAAGTACATATACCCATTTCCTGGCAATCTTTTATGGACTAATTGCATAAATTTTTGTTTTTATTCTGATAAATTTGGGATTAAAAAAGAGTTTGACAATACTATTTCCAAAGATTAAATTTTAACTTAATAAAAAAAAATTAATATTCCGAGCGTTGTAAAAAGAAGTAATTAACTTGTAATCAATATTGCTTTCATGCAATCAGTCCCAACCTAAAACACTGTCGACAAACACACACATTAGCTGTTTTCTATATGTTTTTTAAAAAAATAAAGACAAAGAATTTAAAAATCAATAAATAAAACTTCAATTACAGAAACATTAACTTAAATAGAAACATTTTAAGTCGTCATAATGGAAAAACTAATTTGCAGCGACGGCAAACAAATTTTTAAATTATGACATCGAATTCCTTAGGGGTAGAAACGTGAACCAGGAATGGGTTATGAATTTAAAAAAGGTCATTCAAATTTTCTTCTTCTCAGTTAATTTTTATATGACAAAGTTAATACATTGTATTATTATAAACATTATTATTAATAAGAGAATCAATTCAGAATTAGAAAAATTCTATAACTAATTTTAAAAAAGTATACAGTCTGCAAAAATAAGAAATTAAATATTCAAATATTTATTAACTACTATTATTGTTTTAAATTGAAATCAATAAAACAAATGAACAATATTGAAATGAATAATGAATATGTTCTAAATGACTAAAATCATCATATTTAAAATCAATTATTCATAAAATGTATTAATAAAAAATAACTGTATATAAATTCATAGCAAAAATACATTTTTTTTAAATGGTCAATAAAAGAAATTCACAGTAAAATGTATAAAATATATAAAATTTATATTCTATTTCAAATTCATCAAGAAAAATTTCATATTTCATTTAAAAATAATCAATTATGAAATATATTATATATATATACACACATATATATATTATAGACAAATTTCTCATAAAATTTAATATAAAATTTCAAATTCAAATAAAAATATAGGAATCATTATTCAAAAGTTCATTTATATTATATTATTATACTGATAAAAAAAAATTTTTCAAATATTTTATATATTTATCAAACTGGAAAATCATTACTTTACTATTAATTACTTAAATTCAACTTTGTCATGTAAAAAAATTACAATGATAAATCTCAGAGATTTGGAAAATTTAAATGTACCTTTTTTTTCGGTAAAGATAAATTCTTGTGCTGATAATATAATGATTTACAATGAATTGTTGATTTGACGTTTCATTTTTTTTAAGTTCAGTTATGCGCCACTTTAATCAACATTTCATTGAAAAAAGAATTTTTTCCACTAATTTATAATACTGATTTAATATCATAAAAGCTAATTAATTTTTAAAAATTTTATAGCAAGATTTGTAAATTTAAATTTTATATTTTTATTATTTTTTTAAAAAAATGGGGAACTTAAGGTTTTTTTTAATCAAAAGTTATGTAATTTATTCTACAGGGGCTTCTTGAAGATACTAATATTTAATCAATTAAATCTAAATATATAATGCCTTCTTAAAGAAGCCTCTGTAACAAAAACAAAACTAAGATTAATTCACTTTCTTATATCATCAATTATATGAAAAATTAGAAATATCAAAATGATTTCATTTTAATTGTTATTTGTTTCCTCTGCATAAGAAAAACTCAACTTTTTTTTTATTGATAATGAATTTAATAGTTTAGAATTAATAAACTAAATGGAGAATGTTAATTATATGTACAAAGAAAAAAAAAGGAAAGATGATCAATGTTAGAATTTTATCATGTTTAACAAAAGTTCGAATGTAACAAACTCATTGTGTTTGTTGTTTCTCCGCTTAATTGTTCACAAAATCTTATTCCTCTATCATTTTCTTCTTTCCTTTTTATTTGTATCAATCTAGAAGTACAATAATTTTTGTTTTCATTAAATAAGCAGGACTTTTCAAATTTACTACATTTTAAAATGAAATGAGATTTAATATATATTTTTAATTATTATTATTATTCATGATTAAAGTACTGATACAATACTACGTAGTAAATATTGTTATAAATTTATATATCATTTTAGTATCATATGCATTAAAATTGTATGTTATCAAATTATATATTCATCCCAAAGAGCATAAATTATTATTATTATGCAAACAATTATTAGTTAACCTAAAAGGAAATTATATCTTAAAAAAGTCATAACAGGAAATTTTTATTAAATGACTGGCTGTTGAAATAAATGCATTCTTAATATCAAAGACATTTTTCAAAGTGTTTAAAATTTCAATTATCTTAANAAAAAAACTTAAGCAAGCAAATCAGCAGCTTTAATCAAATTTTGTTTATTTCTAATTATTTCTACAAATATCAAATGTACTATTTAGAAATTCTATGGGACAAAACAATTAAGAAATATCATTTAGATATCACATTATTAAATATTGTACTTATTTTCATCTTGATATAACATTATATTCATCCAATTTAATAAAAACAATACTAAAATAAACAACACTATTTTTACCTATTATTATTATTATTATTCTCAAGTTCAAAGAGTTAATATAACTTGAATCACAACGGCATTTGATTAAATAAAAGTTTTATTTCTAGTGATATACAATTAAATATATGAAACACCGTAAGAAGGGTGGCAAATCTATAGCATAGCTGCTCAAATTCACACACAAAAGAATTTAACATGCAACATATCAAACACTCCAACTTTTCTTTACTAAGTTTATTAAAACCATTGTTTCTGAATATCTAATTTTTTAAATGTTCCAATAACAAGACAGTTTGTAGTTTTTGTTTTTTTTTCCTACCATTTCCTTGAGTGTTACTTCTATAAAAACTACTACACAACTTTCATTAAATATAAAAGTTCTCTTAGCAACAGTAAAAAAGAAACTAAATGATAAAATTGTCTAAGTTTACTTTCAACTTGAACCAAATTTTAAAAGTTATTTGTTTTAGATTCAGCGTTATCATCATCATACTGACTTTTTTTGTTTTTTGACTAAATTTATTTTATCCAATTTTCTAATTTATTTTAATATAAAATACATACCTAAAAATTTACATTTCTGTGCTGTAATTGGAACAAATTTTTTTACTAATTGGTTCATTTACTAATTATTTCTTTTAGTGATAAGTTTTCAAAGTTGACTAAATGATTACTTATGTTATTTTAATACAAACTACATGTTTATCCATTACATACAAATAATAATGGTATATATAAGTGTATATGTAATGATATGCACAAAAGATGATTAGAAGTTAAACTATATTGATTTTGCCTGACTAGAACTTAAATGAAATTTATACTAACCTTCAAAAATTACTACTAGTTACAATAAAAATAGGTTTGCATGTAACAAAAAGTTTTCATATCTAAAATTATGCACAAAACAGTGAAAAATATTTAAGAAATGGCAGTACATTATTAAGATATAAACTTTTAGCAAAACAATTAATAGTCAAACAAAAAACAAACAAAAAAAAAATATTGAATACACTCTAAAATACACATATGGATTACAGAAAATTATTATTTATAATAAAATATCTTGCAAGAAATTTATATGATTTTTATTTGTAAACTTTCTAACTATACTGAAGAATAAATTTTACATACATAAATTAATCAAATAATTATTTCAATTTATGATGAAGACATCACTTGTCAATAATAATTAAATATAAAATGTTAATTAAATTAATTACACCATCTTTATGTTTCTAGCACTTCTAGTTTTTATAATTTTAAATTTTATTTAAGAAATATCAATATGTGCTAAATAATATAATGCACACTATCTTAAGATGAATGAACAAAGTTTATCTTTGGGAAAAATTATCTACATGCTTAAAAATACTATTATGAAAATTGCTTTAGTGCTAGGACATTACTTGTCATTACATAAACAAAAAAAAAGTAATAATAATAATAATATGAGGGGATATCAATTCAAAGTGAAGAGAGAATTAAAGTAATTCCTACTTTAATTCTTGAATGATGATAAATTTTAAACTACAACATGTAGATACTTTTCCTTGTAAACAAACTTAACTCAATTCACCTTGAAAATCAAAAAGTATTTTAAATGAAAATAATAATAAATACATAATAAAAAATAATAATAAGAATAAAAATATCAAGGGTCTATTATTATATTCAATATCAGGATCAAGTTAAAAATTAAATGAAGTAATGAATAAACCATTTGCAAAATACATTCAAAAAGTCAAAACATCACCTTACATCATCCCTGATATCCTGATTTAACCTCTTTGGGGATTCAATTTATTTCTAAGTAATTTTCTAAAAATTTCATTTACTGGCATTTTATCCATTAACTGTACTTCATAATTGATTCTGATGTTTTTCATTCACAGCTCACATCCAGAAGAAATTTATAGAAAAACTATGTAAGCCAATTGGATTCATTCCTTTAAAATTCTAAAAAAAATTATTTGCTATCACCAGTAATTACTACAAATGTAATTGATTCAAATTATTTAAATAGCAATAGATCACACACAGCCATTAAAATAAACCTCCAAAATCATGGAATTTTCTCAAAAAATATATTACTAGCAAGAAAAATCATCAGCAATCTTATGGCTGTTTTCATTAATAACTACATATAATAAATAAATAAATAAATGCAATCATATATTTTACTTTTTCCATCTGACATTTATAAAAATAGTTAACACAATGATGCCTAAATACAAAATATGTTTGTTTATAATACAATTTATTTGGGGAATACTAAATTCTTTGCACTTACTTACTTTATTTGCATTTGATTCTGCTTAAGAATAACTGGAATATAGTACTTAAAATTCAGTTGGTAGCCTAATCCATAGTAACTGTAAAAATCTAATATAGTAATAAACATAAAACCTTTCTCAATTTCACCATGCATTATTATTATTTTTAAATTTGGATCACATTTTTGCCAACTAATATTTGTAAACATTGACAACCTGTAGTATTTATCAAAATTAGAAAAACTTCTTTGAAGACAAAATGCTTGATTTACTAAAATATATTATACAGCTTCACCTGCTAAAATATGCTGATAAAAGCAAGCAAATGTTTAGAAAATTTCTAGTGATATCAGAATAAAACAAAGTTCTTTGACCAGTATAAATGTGACATTAGACACTGCTAAAATGCAACTAACACTTTTGTTAGTTTTGTTGCATCAACTGTGCAACAAAACTAATAAAAATAGGTACAAACAAATCATTTACTTATCACTAATATGAATGTACTTTCTTTATGCAATTTCATGATGTAATTGTTTAATTACTTATATTGATAAATAGATAATAATCTCAATAATATTCATTTAGACCACTATATTAGTCAATAGATTTTTATACAAATTAACAGAGAAATAACTTTCTGACATGTTTGAAACATTTTTGTTACAACTGAATAAAGGAAAATGATTCTTTTCTTAATGTGTTAAAGTAATGTGGTAATCCGCTTAGATTTTTTTGAAATTGTTTATCTTGATGTTCTTTGTAAATAGAATAGCAGAACCAAATGAATCATTTGCTTTAGTAAGATTTAAACAAACCAAATAAACATTAAAAATGACTGTTGAAATTTTTGAAACAAAAAAAAAATTCTGATTCTCTTCTGCTAAAAGAAATGCAATATAATTTCTACATAAAAATTAAAGCTAATAAATGCCTAGGTGGTGATTTCTACATAAGCATTATAAAGGAAAATTGTTAAAGCCAGGAAATAGCAAATGATCTTGAAAACCCTTTTATTCAGCATTAACGTAAGTATGGAATAATTCTTACTGCTCTCTCAGAACACACTATAAAAAACATTACAATCTAGAAATCTTCAAAAACACCATAAATAACATCTGTTTGTGAATATACTTAGACATATAAACTAAAATCGGGAACATTTTAGCAAAAAGACAGATCATTTTTAATTACACAATAATAAAGTTTATAAAATTAACGCTTTAAAATTGTCATTTTATAATGATGATGATTTTTGTTTTTAATGTAAAACCTTTCAAATATAAGGGTATAATAATAAATCAAGGAAAAACAACTTCAATTGGCCATTAATATAAAGGAACATTTCAAATCTCAAACTAAACCTATATAGATCATGGACATCATTGTGTTAACGATTACTGTTACAGAATCAAACAATTATAAGATTTAAAATGATATCCAAATTAATAAAGATTTTAATTTTTCTAATATTTTCAAAGTAAATTATATATCAGCTATTAATTACAAATTGCTTGTTAATGTAGCAAATGTTTAATGATCAATAAATTATGAGAATACTTATATGTAACCAATAGGGAAGATTTATAACACAATGGCAAATACTTTAAAATAAATAACTTAATAAATATAATAATTTTTTCAAGTTTAATATTTTAAATTTATATTAATCATCATTCACATAAACATGTTTCATTTATCATAATTACAGGAAATTCTTTCAAATAAACCTATAGAGTAATCATTTATTTCCAAAAGTTTTTTTATTATGTCAAATAGCTATTTTAAGAACTATATTAAATTTTGAGTTAAGGTATCAATAGAATTTTTTTTCTTAGAACTTCCTGTAATATTTCAAGACAACATATTAATCAATTATTATATTAAAAAATGATACATATTCAATAATTAGATATAAATAAAATAATTTTGTTAAATGCAATGTAGCCATTGTGACATACTTTTGAGCATCCCTGATCTAATCAGATAGGCTGCAACAAGTGTGTCTTCCTATGGTAGCCAAGTCAAGAAATTATTGTGTTCTAATGTTGATAATATCCTAGTTTACGAAATAAAGCATTTCACCAAAAACATCCCTACTTCATTTTCCATCTTAACAAAAATTCAAACTAAAAAGCATTAGAAATAAACAATAAACCGAATTTCTTAAGTAATCAAATATATTNTACACAGATTTTTTGCATATAAAAAAAAAAGTACATATACCCATTTCCTGGCAATCTTTTATGGACTAATTGCATAAATTTTTGTTTTTATTCTGATAAATTTGGGATTAAAAAAGAGTTTGACAATACTATTTCCAAAGATTAAATTTTAACTTAATAAAAAAAAAATTAATAAGCCGAGCGTTGTAAAAAGAAGTAATTAACTTGTAATCAATATTGCTTTCATGCAATCAGTCCCAACCTAAAACACTGTCGACAAACACACACATTAGCTGTTTTCTATATGTTTTTTAAAAAAATAAAGACAAAGAATTTAAAAATCAATAAATAAAACTTCAATTACAGAAACATTAACTTAAATAGAAACATTTTAAGTCGTCATAATGGAAAAACTAATTTGCAGCGACGGCAAACAAATTTTTAAATTATGACATCGAATTCCTTAGGGGTAGAAACGTGAACCAGGAATGGGTTATGAATTTAAAAAAGGTCATTCAAATTTTCTTCTTCTCAGTTAATTTTTATATGACAAAGTTAATACATTGTATTATTATAAACATTATTATTAATAAGAGAATCAATTCAGAATTAGAAAAATTCTATAACTAATTTTAAAAAAGTATACAGTCTGCAAAAATAAGAAATTAAATATTCAAATATTTATTAACTACTATTATTGTTTTAAATTGAAATCAATAAAACAAATGAACAATATTGAAATGAATAATGAATATGTTCTAAATGACTAAAATCATCATATTTAAAATCAATTATTCATAAAATGTATTAATAAAAAATAACTAATAAACCTATAGAGTAATCATTTATTTCCAAAAGTTTTTTTATTATGTCAAATAGCTATTTTAAGAACTATATTAAATTTTGAGTTAAGGTATCAATAGAATTTTTTTTCTTAGAACTTCCTGTAATATTTCAAGACAACATATTAATCAATTATTATATTAAAAAATGATACATATTCAATAATTAGATATAAATAAAATAATTTTGTTAAATGCAATGTAGCCATTGTGACATACTTTTGAGCATCCCTGATCTAATCAGATAGGCTGCAACAAGTGTGTCTTCCTATGGTAGCCAAGTCAAGAAATTATTGTGTTCTAATGTTGATAATATCCTAGTTTACGAAATAAAGCATTTCACCAAAAACATCCCTACTTCATTTTCCATCTTAACAAAAATTCAAACTAAAAAGCATTAGAAATAAACAATAAACCGAATTTCTTAAGTAATCAAATATATTTTTCTTTTAAATCTTTCAAATTTATATCTAATAAAATTCATAAATTTTAAACTAATCAGGCAATCAAAATTTATGTATTCAAGAACATTTTTATTAAAAATTCACTAAATCTAGATATAAATATATAAATCCCAGATATCCAAAATTAATGCAGCACGCAAACTAGACAAACTATCACTTTAATTAAATCTGAAATTATCTGTACAGAGAAGATTCTATGAAGGAATATTGAAATAAATTACAATATACTACAAGAAAAATAGAACTTTTCCTTTCAACACAATGTGTAATTATAAAAACAGTTAATTTTCTTAATAAGGTAAATTATTTTTGTTATTAACCTCAAAAACATGCAAAATTAATATGACAATCATATATATAAAATGATTTCATGAGTGTATTATTACAGATAGTTTTGATGAGTAATAAAAACATTTAATGACCAAATAGACTGATTTATTTAAATAATTTAAAATGAAATAAATGAAATTAAAACCCACAATTTTAATGAATCAGATGACCTAAATAATTATGATGATCATTAATTCAAATTAAATGATATCCTATTTATAACAAATTCATGAAATCATTAATTCATTTTAATAAATCGTTCTGTAATCTAAGCTAATTTAATAATTAATATATCTTTCCATTTAACTTCTGGTATTAAAGATATTTTTTTTATTGAGATCAAAGCAAACTTGTTAAATTTTCCAATTATGCAGTGAAAAATTAAGTGAACCAGCAAACTAGATTTTAGTAGATATATTTTTGTTATTTTAAATGATGTGTATTACTTTTAGTAATGTAACGTGTTATTTTTAGTATGTATTTTTAGTAATTGAGAAGAAAGTCGACTAACTATATTAGTGAAAATGGAAATTTAAAAATCAATTTAATTTATGNTAGTAAATATTGTTATAAATTTATATATCATTTTAGTATCATATGCATTAAAATTGTATGTTATCAAATTATATATTCATCCCAAAGAGCATAAATTATTATTATTATGCAAACAATTATTAGTTAACCTAAAAGGAAATTATATCTTAAAAAAGTCATAACAGGAAATTTTTATTAAATGACTGGCTGTTGAAATAAATGCATTCTTAATATCAAAGACATTTTTCAAAGTGTTTAAAATTTCAATTATCTTAACAAATAATAGCAATTTTTGTATAGATATATATTGTTAGATAAAAATACTTAATTCTTAATAGCTAAATATTTATTTTAACACTCAAATTAATTCAGTAACTATTTATAAATATGTCAATATTAGCAAAATATGCCCTATACAGTGTATGGTGTAAAATGCATAAATGAATTCCTTACACTATAGTTCATACAATATCTAAATTACTAACAATTGCAAAAAGTAGAAGTTAGCCAATGCAGCTTAATCGTTAATATTTAAAGTGACAGATAAACTATTATAACAAAATTTTGTATTACTTTACGCATTTACCAGAAAATGTTTAGTTTTGAATTAACTCAGTTTCCTTATTTACTGTGTAAGCAAAACTCTGCTATTCACATATGCAATTTTAATTTATAAAGGTTCTTTGTTACTGCTTTTCATAGTATATAATTGATGTTTCAAATCATCTACAGATATTTATGGTTAAAAAGTTTTAATATGTTTATAAATTAAATCTGATGAGAGACATTGAAATTTTGTGGTGTATCAAAATTTAAAAAAAAAAATGAAAATTTCAATTTACAAATAAACAAAATGTGAAACAATTAAAAGATATTTTATTTTAAATTACATTAAGTTTACCACAAAACCAGTGCTGAATGAATTAAAAAAAGTCACAGAAAACATCACAAAGCATTTTCCAAACATGCAGTGCTCAATTTCTATTTTCTGAAATGTAAAATGTATAAAGATAACAGCATGTTTCAATTTTATTTATATATATATATATTTTTTTATAATCAGATTTTATACAATTTAAAGGATATATAATAGCCTGTTCTGTATTTTCACAGATTTTATTCTCCAAACAGCAAGAATCGGTATATATTGATGGATTTTTTTATTCATAACTTTAATAATAATAAAATGAAAATAAATGGAATGTAAATTTATATTCATTAAGAAAAAACTGTAATATGAACTGAAAATAAAGATTGAATAACACAATGATATGGTGTAGGTGCTGCCAAAACAGCACATTTTAATATAAATGAGGAATGTTCTACATTCAATCTATTCCTACTTATATACTAAACAATGCACTACATATGAAAATAATGTGATTTTAAATTTGAAAGATCTTACTCTCAACTTTATTTCTTCAATCTATTCTGTTTTCAGATAGACATGGCATAATCATGATGAAAATAGTAAATAAAGTTAAAATTAATCAAATGGTAACATTATGAAAACAATGCATAAACATAAATGAATGAATTATTTATGAATAGTAAATCAATGCATTGAAATTCTTTTTTAACTACAACAATAACTTAAAATCATTATTTGAAAAATCTTATTTCTAATATTGTACCTGTAAAATCATTTTTTGTACATTTTTTAATAACTTTTGATAAATACATTCTTATTATTAGGCATTTTTATATTTATCATTCCTCTTTAAAAAAAATCAAAATGTCTTTACAGTGAAAATGGTAATGTACTCACCACAATAATGCCAATTCACTTTAGAGCTAAGACTTGTATACTCTTACCAAATATCAAGCTGTAAAGCTTGGAAGAATTTATTGAATTTTACAAATATCAATACAAAAAAACAATATCAGATAAAACATTATTGGTAAAATGACAAACATCGCTTACAGACATTTCAAACTGAAACATGACAATGTGATTTTCATTATTCTTACCTCTGTTGATGAGGCATATCTCCTTCATTTATTTAAATGAAAAGCTGAAATCTAAACACTCATGTGACAATGAATAGATATATGTAATAATATCAGTTGAATTATACTAACAGCAATCAATTATTTTTACTCAACTCATTATCCCACGGTGAAATATGCCATGGTACTGGTGATCTGGCACTCGAGACGATCTCCAACCAGCCTAAAACTGAGGCAATTAGATAAAAATAAAAAAATAAACAAAACATATCCAAAACAAATACCTTTAGTTTACCAAATAGAAAGGGGAAAAAAAAATTCAATCTAAATTTGGGTTACAATACAAATAAAAATCCAAATATATACAAAGCATATGACACTGTCACATGAGGAATATTCAGCTGAATTTGTTAAAACTATAAACAACTAGCAATATACAATAGACATATGGCATCCAACACTAAAATGTATTATTGTACTGATGTACTAGCCATCTAGATCATGTCAATTTGACATTAATATCCATTCTCAGTTCACATATTCTATGACAAAATTTTTTATGTTGATATACAATGCTGACTTAACCGACATTTCACATGTAATAATTTCTGGTAACCTCTGTAAGATGATGTCAAATCAAACTTGAGAAGGCAAATTGCAATCATGTGAGAGCAGCAGCATACTGATGGTATTCTGAAAAAGCACAACAACAAAAAACAAACATATTTCACATATCAATTACACCTGTTTTGCTGTTTGTTTTTGGCCTGTAAGAAAACTTTCTATATGCATTATATGTATTAAAAAACCCTAATTTGCCACTCTTCAGTCTCTACTACTTACCCCATACTTACATTTAACTTCAAAAGAATCAGGAAGTTATGACTATATGATCCTCTGGAACAAAAGATGTTCTGGATTTATATAATTATTGGTTACTAATAAAAATATTTGGGATCATCTGCAGTTAATCATCAAAAAACTCATTTTTTTAGATGTAACTACAAAAATTAAATATTGTTCTCAAACCCAACGATTAAGCTTCAAATTTAAACACACACTAATAAAATAAAAGTTATTTTGGTTTTGTAGCTTTCTTTAATTTACTAGCATCTATATTATAATAGATTCATTCACTTTTATATAATTATTTAAAAGCAAGATAATTCCTTTTGAATAAACTTTATAAGATTTCAACCAAATTTTAAGATTAAATCATCTCTATAAAATTTTCTTGATCATATGTATTTAATTATTTGAAGTTTTATTCTTTGAAAAAATTACTTTTAATTTTATTTACATTAAAAAAAATGAAACTCAAACCAAGACAAGGAAAAAGTCACTTCCTTATTGAAGATAGTAAAAAACTTATTGGGCTGCAATTTGAAAAAATTGTAGACCTATAAATTCCCATTGTCATCCATCTGTCATTTTTTAATCTCAAGAATGGTGTTGGATAGAAGATGAAAGTTGAGATCAGATATGGAAAGCTTAGGGGAAAGAGTCCCTAGTTTAATTATATATGAATTTCCTATCTTTATACTAAAGTCATGTGATTTTAATTCAGAAATTTTCCCCAAAATGGAATTACATAGCTGACTCGCATGACTTATCGTCAGGAAAAGTATGATGTACAGGGAAAGACACTATTGAGATCGAGAGCATATATTTTCAATAAATTAAAAATTGCAGCCTGAAACTGACAATGTAACAATAAGTACTTCCTTGTTTAATTTAAAATTACATTGCAGTCCTAAAAATAATTAAGATTTTATTACTACTTACATGAAATTCTATAAAATTTTTCTTTTATAAGCCGGACTAATTTAACAAACAATGCTTCGATTACTTTTAAGACTAAATTTTCAAGTTGAAAATTGAAGCTTCACCAAAATAACTTTAGACTTAAAACTATGCTTTTAATGATTTTTCATATTTTTAAAATTACAGTTAGTATACAGTAAAACCCCGCTTAACACTGCCTTGATATAATGCAGTCTGCTTGAAGCCTTAAAAAGAGCTCAAAATTTATGCTGTTCAAATTATCGTAGCATTTCATTGATTTGTATATAATATGATTATTTACGAACACAAACAATCAGCAAAAGGTGGCAATTTGTCGTAGCACTGTACATTCCTTAAATCTGTTTGTTTGTTTTGTGCAATTTTCGAAAAAATATATCATTATGGATGCCATAGGAAATATCGACTTTGTTTGGCAAGAATTAACTGATAAATGCATGGACGGAATGTGGAAGAAGTTATGGCTGGAGGTATCCAAGAATTCTCAATGCGAAGAGCCTATCGCTGTATCATTAGGTTAACCAAACTGTTAACGTAATCGATGAAGCAGAATTAACAGATGTAGATAAGCAGGATATTAAAAAGTTACTGGTGAACGACAACTTTTAAAAACTGGCAGAACAAGGAATTCATGTAAAAACTAGAAAATAGTGATTCTCAAAACAAAGAACTCAAATAACTTGTACAGATTTCTTTAGTAAAAGTTTGGTAACAATAACCATAATTGTTGATCAAATTGTAGCAAATAATCCAAATTTTGATAGTGCAAAAGCAAAACAAGGCGTTTTGGATGTGATCTTTTTGATACCGACATTTGCTTAAGGAAAGAAAGAAGAAGAAAAAAAAAAGCAACAAATGAAACTACACGACTTTGTCGCAAAAAACAAAAATTTCAAAAGAGCCAAGACCGTTGTTATTTAAGATGTCTACTCAGACTTATTTTATTAACAGGACTTGTATAATAAGTCCTGTTAATAAAATAAATCCGAGTAGACATCTTAAATAATAAACTATATGATAAGGACACAGAGGCACTTGATTTAAATTTTTAGCCAAGACCTTAATCACAAAAAACAATCTTTACATTTCTGTGTGCATATGTTTGTGTGTTATTTAACATATATTATTATGCAAATTTATATAAAAATAACTTAAAGTAAAATCTGTATATTTTTGGTTACGTGTTCCCCTTTCTCTATTTACTCTATGTTAAAATGACCTCGTTTAATGCTGTTTTGTTTAATGCTTTGTAGTCTAGGAACACATTCCCTGTGTTAAGCGGGGTCTTACTGTACTTAGAAAATTCTAAATAACGATGAAACCATCTGTAAGCCATTTGAATTAAATGTAATATTTTTTTAAATTAACGCTTAAAAATGAATAAAATCCACTAGTGTGTATACTTTCAAAACACTGAAAAGCAAGCTGAAGATATAATTTAAATGCATTTTAAAACTTTTATAATTTAAATCATGTTTCAAAAATAATTAACCATAAAAACTGTACTTTGAGATGTATAATTATAGTGATTTAAATTGTATTGTAGTGATAAAAATTGTATTCTAAATATCTGTGGTTATTATTTTTGAAACAACATACAGGGTTCCTACTCAAATTTTTCTTTAAAATTCCATGCCTTCCCCTCACCAACTTTGTACAAATTTCCTTAACCTCACATCCCTTACAGTAAGGCACCACTGACAAAATGAAATAGCATTTGAGTAACTATGCAGATATGCTATTGCTTCTCCAATCCAACTTATTAAAACTAAAAATAAAATGTTTTATTAAATTAAAGTAGGTTATTCTATTATTAATCCACAACCACGTATCTAGATGGATTTGAAAAAAAGAAAAAAGCAATTATTTATTTCTTATTCATTAACAAAACTTGTACAATCCATGTACAAAAGTATATATTTATTACATTTATCCCTTAACAATTTTCCTGAACTTTATAAAATATTAATAAACTGGAAAAAAATCCAGAAACTGTTTTGTTATGCAATCAAAATTACTAAAATGAAAAAAATTAAACACTGTTTAAATTGAAATTACTCCATCATTTTTTGTACTTTGGAAATTTTTATGTATGCTTGGAAGAAAATTTGGAACCTGAAAATATTATCCTGCACTTCTTTTCATAATTTGTATTCACCACATTACTTTGTGCTGAATGCAGATAGCCAGACTTGGTCAACCATTTTTATGAGGGGGGAAATATCAAAAAGGCAGCCAAGGGGGAAAATTTCACCTTTTTGACGAATTCCCTGACTTTTTTCAAACACCAATGGAAATGACTTTCCAGGTGCATAGGAACCCTGAATATATGTATTACTGCACTATTACCAACATATAATAATTTACTGAAACAAAAATTCTTTTTTATCATGGAGAATTTTTGTCTTTCAAAAACTACAGATGATCCAATTTAATCCCCTGAATCTTCACCCAGTTTTTTGTGGCATTTAGGCACTACTTTATATTAAATAACATATTACTGAATTATGTAAAATTAAACTTTTACTTTTATAGAATAATATTTTAAAGTAAAATAATTAAATTTCGCTTTATTAATAAATTTATGTAAATTATACAATAATTTTATTTTATATTAGTTACCTTTACTGAGAAGTTCCAGGGTACTGTTGTGCTCCATAAGCAGCATAACCATATCCAGGGTAGGGATTTTGCTGCTGACCGTATGGATTCTGTTGTTGTGGAGAATAAGATCCGTGAGGCCATTGCGCTGGTGCAGGTGGAGCTGCTCCAGGAGGAAACTGTTGGTTCTGTGCTGGTGCCGGTGTTGGCGCAGGTGCTGGAGCAGGAGCAGGAGGAGCAGGTGCCGGAGCGGGAGTGGGTGCAGGTGCTGCAGGAGCAGGCGGAGCAGGAGCTGGTGTTGGTTGTGGTGCTGGAACTACTTGAGGTTGTTGAGGTGGTTGTCCTTGTACAGGAAGTACTGCTGGTTGTTGAGTAGTTGGTGGTACTGGTGAGGCACCTTGTTGAGGAGGTTGGTACTGTTGTGGAGGTTGATATTGTTGAGGCTAAAAAAAAAGATATCATTTCACTTAGATAAAAATATTTAAATTTTTTTACTAAAATTCTAAAATACTTACATGTTGTGCTGCTTGTTGGTTAGCTCTAGCTTGCTGTTCAATCATTTCTGCTTCTCTAAACATTCCTAAAGATCGATAATACTCTGCCCATGCAGCACTATAGTCTGGCTGTGGTGCAGTAACAGTTGTAGCTGTTGTTACAACAGTAGCAGCAGGTGCAGCTAAACAAATAAATACAAATATTACATCATCAACAAATTTTTTCAATATAAAAACATTTTCGTTTCTTAATAATTTAAAATACTATACTTTTCAGAATCAAAAAACCATTTCTGAATTACAACATAAAAAAACATTTTTTACACATTAAACAGTTATCAATTGGAAAACCCAGAACCACCTTAATTTCTATTAAATTTATTTTTTAAAAATTAATTTCACTACTGTACTTTGATTTTTTGCTCCCTAATAATTTTAAATAAACTATTGTTATTAACAAGTTTTACCAAAATTCCTGTACCTTCATCTGATTTATATTGAAAATTTAAATTCTGGTAAATCTAATAATAAATGACTTATTTGAAATATAAAAAAAATTAAGTGTTTAGTTAATAAAATAATTACGAAAATTCAAGTCTAAATGAAACATTTTTCAATTAAAAAAAAAACACCAAAATCTAAATATAAGTACAACATAGATCACAAATTATCTTTGTGAAATCAAAACTTAAAATAATAAGCAACTCAAACAACACATAATGACATATCAAGCATCATAAACATTTCACATTTCATTTAAACAGAAAACAATAACGTTAAAATTAGCATTAATTTTGTAAACACGTAATCACAAAAACAAAATTACAATTATAAAAAATGCTTTATAAAGGATAAACAACCTTTATAATGCTTTATAAACAACCTATTGAAATAAAACAAAAACAGTTAATTCATAACATCTACCTGACATTTTGCAAAATCCAGCAACTTTCTGCTCTATCGTTTCAAAACTAATTATAATCATTAAAATAATAACAATTGAAGGGCACATGTCATACTTTGAATATCTGCTTTATATTTTTCAAATTTCCCATTATTTTCTTTAAATTTCTGAACAATCAGATGAGTTATTTTTATGAATAAATAAAATTGAATGTTATAACAGAATGATTCAATAATTAATTCAAATTACAAATAAAAATGCAGATGATATTGTAGGGAATTCACATTTTGTTTATATATTCTCCTAACATCAATTGATCCATTTCTTCCTCTCTGATTTTCACTTGGCAAAGTCTATAAATGCTGAATAAAAATCAATTGGCAACTCCTCCATTAATACTGTTCTTTATTGAACAAGAAATCAGGAAAAATATATTCTAGGTAAAGAACAAACACACTACTAAAGAAATAACAAAACTGTAATGAATGTATTTCAAAGTGATAATTACACCATTCATGATGTATTGACTAAATAATGTTGATAAAATTAAGATTTATAAAAAGTTAAAAAGAAATGTTTACTCCAAAATTCGTGTTAGTGATGTGTCAAAATTACATGAGAAGTATGAGAAATTTGCATGACAAGAAAAAAACCAATAGTAATATCATATTACAATAAATAAAAGGTATTTAAATTATTATTAGTGATGTAACGAATATTCGGTTACTATTCGGTATTCGGCCTATTTTTCACTATTCAGCCAAATACCGAATATTTAATCACTATTCGGCCGAATACCAAATACCTAAAAACAGGAGTAATAAATAGCAAAAACACAGTAAATTAATCGTTTTGGTATTTAGATTTAATGTTATCGAGTTAGTATTGTTTGTTTATATTTATTTATAACTTGTAACATGCACAAAATAAAAAAGAAAATAATATTAGTNTTATTATTATTATGCAAACAATTATTAGTTAACCTAAAAGGAAATTATATCTTAAAAAAGTCATAACAGGAAATTTTTATTAAATGACTGGCTGTAGTTAATTTTCTTAATAAGGTAAATTATTTTTGGTATTAACCTCAAAAACATGCAAAATTAATATGACAATCATATATATAAAATGATTTCATGAGTGTATTATTACAGATAGTTTTGATGAGTAATAAAAACATTTAATGACCAAATAGACTGATTTATTTAAATAATTTAAAATGAAATAAATGAAATTAAAACCCACAATTTTAATGAATCAGATGACCTAAATAATTATGATGATCATTAATTCAAATTAAATGATATCCTATTTATAACAAATTCATGAAATCATTAATTCATTTTAATAAATCGTTCTGTAATCTAAGCTAATTTAATAATTAATATATCTTTCCATTTAACTTCTGGTATTAAAGATATTTTTTTTATTGAGATCAAAGCAAACTTGTTAAATTTTCCAATTATGCAGTGAAAAATTAAGTGAACCAGCAAACTAGATTTTAGTAGATATATTTTTGTTATTTTAAATGATGTGTATTACTTTTAGTAATGTAACGTGTTATTTTTAGTATGTATTTTTAGTAATTGAGAAGAAAGTCGACTAACTATATTAGTGAAAATGGAAATTTAAAAATCAAATTTAATTTATATGAAACAGTTACCAACTAATGATAATTCTGAAAATTCGTAACAGACGTTCTTATTGTAATTTAATTCCTTATAGAATATTCTCACACAGGAAACATTTTCTTAAATTCACTTAGACTTCTTTATTTAAAAGATTTCAAAATTTTCTTATTTAATTATAAAAGCATTAATTCTGGAAAATCATAAAATGAACAAATTTAATCAAAATAGTAATAATTTAATTAAACAAATTTCAAAAATATAAATATTTTTAATCATCAATAATGAAAAAATGATTCTAGTAATTAATATTTGTTTTATAAATAAAAATTAAACAAAATCAATTTGCATATAAATAAATTATTTACATCTTAATTTAAGATTTGAATTGAAAAAGATGGCCACAAAATTTATAGACAAGACTAATATTAAAATTCAACAATTCCAAAAATATCCTAATTTTAACTAATATAACAATTTTTCAAAAATATTCAATAATAAAATCCTAATAATTATATAAAATAAAAATGGAGAAAAATCAATATTTATCTGAATTTAATAAAATCCACAAATACATTTAATAAAACAACAAAAAAATAATAATCGAGTTTCCTCAATTACACAGATTTTTTGCATATAAAAAAAAAAGTACATATACCCATTTCCTGGCAATCTTTTACGGACTAATTGCATAAATTTTTGTTTTTATTCTGATAAATTTGGGATTAAAAAAGAGTTTGACAATACTATTTCCAAAGATTAAATTTTAACTTAATAAAAAAAAAATTAATAAGCCGAGCGTTGTAAAAAGAAGTAATTAACTTGTAATCAATATTGCTTTCATGCAATCAGTCCCAACCTAAAACACTGTCGACAAACACACACATTAGCTGTTTTCTATATGTTTTTTAAAAAAATAAAGACAAAGAATTTAAAAATCAATAAATAAAACTTCAATTACAGAAACATTAACTTAAATAGAAACATTTTAAGTCGTCATAATGGAAAAACTAATTTGCAGCGACGGCAAACAAATTTTTAAATTATGACATCGAATTCCTTAGGGGTAGAAACGTGAACCAGGAATGGGTTATGAATTTAAAAAAGGTCATTCAAATTTTCTTCTTCTCAGTTAATTTTTATATGACAAAGTTAATACATTGTATTATTATAAACATTATTATTAATAAGAGAATCAATTCAGAATTAGAAAAATTCTATAACTAATTTTAAAAAAGTATACAGTCTGCAAAAATAAGAAATTAAATATTCAAATATTTATTAACTACTATTATTGTTTTAAATTGAAATCAATAAAACAAATGAACAATATTGAAATGAATAATGAATATGTTCTAAATGACTAAAATCATCATATTTAAAATCAATTATTCATAAAATGTATTAATAAAAAATAACTGTATATAAATTCATAGCAAAAATACATTTTTTTTAAATGGTCAATAAAAGAAATTCACAGTAAAATGTATAAAATATATAAAATTTATATTCTATTTCAAATTCATCAAGAAAAATTTCATATTTCATTTAAAAATAATCAATTATGAAATATATTATATATATACACACATATATATATTATAGACAAATTTCTCATAAAATTTAATATAAAATTTCAAATTCAAATAAAAATATAGGAATCATTATTCAAAAGTTCATTTATATTATATTATTATACTGATAAAAAAAAATTTTTCAAATATTTTATATATTTATCAAACTGGAAAATCATTACTTTACTATTAATTACTTAAATTCAACTTTGTCATGTAAAAAAATTACAATGATAAATCTCAGAGATTTGGAAAATTTAAATGTACCTTTTTTTTCGGTAAAGATAAATTCTTGTGCTGATAATATAATGATTTACAATGAATTGTTGATTTGACGTTTCATTTTTTTTAAGTTCAGTTATGCGCCACTTTAATCAACATTTCATTGAAAAAAGAATTTTTTCCACTAATTTATAATACTGATTTAATATCATAAAAGCTAATTAATTTTTAAAAATTTTATAGCAAGATTTGTAAATTTAAATTTTATATTTTTATTATTTTTTTAAAAAAATGGGGAACTTAAGGTTTTTTTTAATCAAAAGTTATGTAATTTATTCTACAGGGGCTTCTTGAAGATACTAATATTTAATCAATTAAATCTAAATATATAATGCCTTCTTAAAGAAGCCTCTGTAACAAAAACAAAACTAAGATTAATTCACTTTCTTATATCATCAATTATATGAAAAATTAGAAATATCAAAATGATTTCATTTTAATTGTTATTTGTTTCCTCTGCATAAGAAAAACTCAACTTTTTTTTTATTGATAATGAATTTAATAGTTTAGAATTAATAAACTAAATGGAGAATGTTAATTATATGTACAAAGAAAAAAAAAGGAAAGATGATCAATGTTAGAATTTTATCATGTTTAACAAAAGTTCGAATGTAACAAACTCATTGTGTTTGTTGTTTCTCCGCTTAATTGTTCACAAAATCTTATTCCTCTATCATTTTCTTCTTTCCTTTTTATTTGTATCAATCTAGAAGTACAATAATTTTTGTTTTCAATAAATAAGCAGGACTTTTCAAATTTACTACATTTTAAAATGAAATGAGATTTAATATATATTTTTAATTATTATTATTATTCATGATTAAAGTACTGATACAATACTACGTAGTAAATATTGTTATAAATTTATATATCATTTTAGTATCATATGCATTANTTTTTCTTTGTAGAACATATCGATTTCAGTTACTAAAATAATACCATATAATAAAGGAAAATTATCGTCATAATCGACGTTCTGAATTTCATCAAATTATATTTTATTGCTACTTATAAGTAATTACGTTATTATTTTGAGTATTTAATATAATTTCTGTAATTTTATTTTAAGATTGCTCCAAAGTTTTTCTGTTGTTCTAAAATAAAAACTAGAGAAAATACGGAGGACGAAAATGAATATAATTGCGACCGATTTTTTGCATTTCACGGTTTCTTCACATCTCTGGAGCATATATAGGTCGAAAGAAACATCACAGTATTTTGTACCGTGTTTGTGTACAAAGATTGCATTTTCGAAATGAAAACAATAATAATTTGCAAGAAATAATTAATTAAAACAGTTTTTTTCAAGTTTTAGTTCGTAAACTACAGAAACACTTGATTCCACGACATTTTTATTCATCTTAACATATGCTACATTAATTACCAGATAATTACGTGCTCATAGTTTTCACGTAGATTTTTATTTGCTTTTATATGACATAATACATAATATAAGATAAATGATATAACATATAGAGCAAGCGTTCTAAATTAAAGAACAATTGTAATAAAATGAGACAAAAGTTTTATAATTAAAAGTTACGTGAGCTGTCCCGTGAAAAGGGAAACACGTTCTTTAACAGATCAATTATTATTTCTTGTATGTTTTCTAAAAAAATCACCAAAATTCAAAAATGCTTCAACAGATACAGAAAGTAATGACTACAAACAGCTAAAATCATTAATTTATAGAGAAACTAACAACAAACAGAAAAAAATGTTTGTTAATTAAGAACGAATTAAGCAAAAATGTAATATTGAATATAAAACTTTTATGATGTTACACACTAGATAGATAAAAAAGTATATCTTCGTCATTATAACATAGTCTTCGAGGAAAATATGTAAACAAATATTAATAAACAGACAAAATTTTTTTAGGAACGAAAACCTGATTTTTTCGTTAATTATGGCCGAAACTCAAGCATAATCAAATATAATTTCCGTATCACGCTAATTTCATAAAATTTTCTTATAAGTACTGTACATTATCAGATAATTTAAGATTACAATTTTAATAAAAAAAATTAAATTGTTTAATAATTAAAGTAAATAAATCACCAAAAAATTTACGTATCTAATTTTGTTCAATATAACTAGAAAAATTTAATATAGAGAAAATAAAATCCAACCAAGTTATAATAAATTATTAATGTGTTGCATTATAAGAAATAAAGATGGCTTTGACACTAATTGGTTGTAAACTTGTTTTTCCCTATAGGGTTGAAAAGACTAATGAAAAACATGTGAAAAAGAAACTCATAAATTACTCAATATTTTTAAAAATATATATTGTGTCACGTTTTGCAATTTCCATTTAAAAAATTTTATTAAGTTTTACGAAAATATATATATGTTTATCAAAAAATTAATTCAAATCACAGATTGTAGCGTAAAATATCACAAACGGTTATTACTTCACAAATAGTAAAAATAGTTGAATAGTGTGGATTTTTGTGTATGAATCGTGAGACTTAAAAGTTTCTGTTTTTACTTGAAAGTTTGAAGATGAAAAAATAAACTACGCTATCGTTTTTTTAAAACAAATTCATTTAATTGCTTTCAAAACGTCATTCATTTCGTGCGTGGAAAAAGACCGTTTTTCCTGTAAATGAAAAAAATTTAAGTTATCTATATCTGTGCTAATCTTTAAATTTTTCTATTTTATGATTTTTCATAGTTAATTAGTTTAAACATGCCAGCATTGAATAAACTTTCCACTATTACTTTCACAAAAACTTTTGCTGCCCTTCCATTTTTTGAAAACTATGGATAATCAAATGTTACAAATTCTGCAAGGAAAAATGATTTTCAAATCTTATTTCAATGTCTGGTGAATTAAGATTTATATTAAATTAGATTAATGTCTGATTTATAATTAATTTTATATAAAAACAAAGCAATACTCCATTTCATAAACCATCTACAAATTCAGAAGTTTAAACAAAAAATTTCCCTACCAAAAGGAAGAAAATATTTCATTTAACATTTTAAAAACAAACAACATTTACATTCATTCACAAGAAAAATTGAAAATCCAGTTAAACAGCAATTTAAATAACATAAGAAATACCTCTATTATTAATAAACAGAGATACAATAAGATTTACAAACTTATCTTTAAAAATTAAAAATCTATCAATTAAGGAATTTAAGCTAAATGATTATAAATTCAATTTTATAATTTGGAAGAAAAGCTCAAATATGTGATTTGGATCTCAATTTAAAATGTGCATTATTAGAATCTGCTAATTATCCATATCTTCCTACCTGTTTGATTTGGAGGTTGAACAGGCTGTTGTGGTGGAGGAGGTTGCTGTTGAGGTGGTTGTTGTTGGGGTGGCTGTGCCTGACCATAATACTGTGCATAATATGCTGCCCAAGCAGCAGCATTAGCATCAGCTGCTGCTTTTGCTATAAAACAAGAGAGAGACCATTAAATATGTTTATAAACTTTTTGACTGATTAAATTTTATACATTCTAATTACATAATCAAATTTCATTTGCACAAATTGTAACATTATTGTTGTAACAATATAGGAATTTAATTCAAAAGTATTAAAATCGCATGTCATTCATTATAATGTGCACAGTAGTGCCTATTTTAGCCTAATAGTTTGTCTCTATTAAACAAAATTTTATGGTCATGCTGCCAATTCCACCTATTATCAAGCAACTACATAGATTTATCTGAACTTTGAAAGAAACCAGCCTTGTTAGGAAGAAATTTTTTCTAAATGATGGAAGAATTTCACACAAAAATAAACTAAAAAACTTTAGTAAATTAAAAATTTCTCAAGCAGTGGGATTTAGCATAATCTGCATTAAACAGAATGTCGTTTTTTAAAGTATGAAGAATTTATTTAAATTGAAGTTTTTCCATTTCTACAAAAAGAGAAAAAAAAAGTTTAGCAAATAAATAATTCAAAATACTATCTATGTTATAAACTACATTATTAAATTCAAATTGTTTTTGACTCAAATCAATCTTTTAAATTTTCATGTTACTTCAGCTACGATTAAATAAAAACTACATTAAATATAGATTATACAATAAAGAGCATTTAAGGTTAATATGCATCCGTTTAATGATTGGAAACCANTTAGCTAAAATGCTACAGAAAATTTTTTCCCAGCTTATACCCTGTGCTTTAATATAGCTTCATCTATAAAAATGCAAATATAAACTACATTATTAAATTCAAATTGTTTTTGACTCAAATCAATCTTTTAAATTTTCATGTTACTTCAGCTACGATTAAATAAAAACTACATTAAATATAGATTATACAATAAAGAGCATTTAAGGTTAATATGCATCCGTTTAATGATTGGAAACCACTAACTATTTATCCCTATATCCCATTTAGTTCTAAATTATCAAATCTCAATTAGAATTTGAAAATAAAAAAAAATTAAATATGAAATGTGTGTTGATAAATTGTAGCATTTTATAGTAAGAAAAGACAACATTTGCAAATAACAAACTTTAACCAGATTATAATTTCTAAATATACCATATTTACTTGCACATAAGAGGAGGTTTTTATTCATTTATCACAGCTTCAAATTCCTAGGTTGTCCTATATGCGCAAACAAAAGTTTCTTTGCGTTTTTGCAAATAATTTTTGTGAACCGTGTATTCACATTTTTTACTGGATGCTTACCCTCTTGTATTTAAAAACATAAGTATTTTATCTGAGCCATTTAAATCGTTCTTCTATATTGTCAGGAGTAAAGATGAATAGCAATAGAAAAAGCAAAGCTTTTGAATTGAATTCCAGATTGAAATTCCAAATCACATGGGAGCTTGATATAAGTTTCAATCCATTCCCACATGAAAACAGATGATTATTCGGAAATCAGAATTTGGAGAAATTAGTAAGTGTAATCAACAGAGTGGATTCGACTGTTAAGAATTGTCAAAAAAAGGTTCCAGATTGTCCATCTTTACATAAATTATGTAATCAATTTTACAAGATTTTTCCTTAAAGTTTAAAATGCCAGTAATTTTTTGTGGGACAATGTGTGCATTTACGTTCATTTGATATTTTACTTGTGATTAAGCAAAATAAAATTAGAATTGTATTAATAAATCTAATTTTCTTATTTTGAACTTTAAAGTCACTCCTCGTCCTATATATGAAATCGTCTTATATGCAAATAAATACGGTAATAGCTTTAGACACTAATGTGTGTGAGAGAAATTATTTTCTAATAAAAATTTAAATTTTTAATTAAAAAGCTATTTCTAATTTCTCTATTATAAATTTACTTTTGTTGAACTTACCGATTTCACTAAATTTTTTATGAATTTTAACAAATAAAAATGAATTAATTTAGTTATATAATAAAGTAAAACTTTTATTCTTTTTAAAAATGTACAGTTTTTATTGTTATTGCTCTTTTTTGCTAATATTCAAAATTTGTATAAACATTTAACTGCTTTATGTAATTTCTTCAATCCTGTTAGCTATTAAATGTGAAACATAGTACAATATTAACAGGTTGTGTACCATGGTTAGCCAGCTAGTGGATTTTTTTTAAACATTTTTTCAAAAATTGTTAGGAACTGCTGTGAATGGAAATAAAGTTGTACTTTTGAAAAATATTTATTAAATATAAATTTCTAATACTCACAACTGTTTTTCAGTACCACAATTTCAAAACAAAATTTGTAACTACACATTACCCACAAAACTATGGTGAGACTAATAACATAATTTCAATTCAACATACTCTGAATATGCATAACTAGTTTTATTAAAAAGTTAATTTATAAAATTTATGTATAATGGTAATATGATATATTTCAATCATATTTATACCATATCAAGCTAGATTTATAAATGTGATGTACCTATTTTCAAAATTCTAAACACAAAATTAAAAACTAGATAAAGCCAGTGCTAGCTAAAAAAACAAAAATGAGACATGCAATGTTAATTCAGGTAGTCAAAGCTGAGGCACAGAACTCAATGTAATAATCGCAAAAAATACTATTCATTACAAAAATCTTACTCAAAAATTATTAACAAAAGGAATAAAATTTTTAAATATTTATTTTTAATCATGAGATAAATGAATCAAAACTTTCACAACTGATACAATACAGGAATAAAAGAATGAAAGTATTAAAAGTTTTGAAAACATTTATAAACTTAGTACATTTTTAATTAAATTTAATTTTTTAAAACTTTTGATATGAATATAACTAAAAACTTCTATGTTATTTTATTACTATTTTAAATTTTCATTATATCACAATATCATTTCTATTATACAATCTTAATGCAATACGTTCACATGACATCAAACTCACGTGACTGAAAACAGCTTTGTTTTAAGAAAGCAAGGAAGGAAAACAGAGAGATTGACACCGAAATAATGTGAAATTCTTGTTCAGCATATAATTTGTATTAATCACAGAATGAAAATGTTGCATACAGAAAATAGAAAACTTTCCATTTATCTCTGAATAAAAATGATGCCTTTGTGAATGGCTAGTAAAAATTAAATGGAAAAACTAAACCCAAGCTAAATATGTATTCATCTCACTTGGAAGAAACATGTTCTGAGTAGGCTCATTGAGAAGAAAAGGGCTGAGGATTTTCCCTGTTCCCAGAGAAAACTTGGGGACTTAGTAGGAGGATATTAATCACTATAATTATTATTATTTGTACTAAAAAAATTGTTTAAAAGCACATTTTATAAATAAAAAAACATTCTGCATATTTCATTTGTTCAAAAAGAAAAAGGAAAAAAAAGGTCAGACCTGTTAAATGAGAAAAGAGGTTCTCTGTACCCATACAAACACTCAACGGACCTAGTTTTAAGTTTCCAGATAATAAGATTCAAAAGAAAATCATAATATAGCACAGGATCATCCACTACGGAAATACCAAAATTCAACATGAATTACAAAATATAAACTTGCAGCATAAACATTAAATATATGTAATTATAATTATTACAATAAGTTTGTGCATTTATTTGATCAATGTAAATATCAAAGTATGCTATTAAACAGAACTATATATATTGTAAATATAATGAATTAATCTCTTAACTTAGTGAAATCTTGATTATCAAAAGTTATATACTGTTTAACCAGACAAACAGATACTTTCTTTTTAACAGCTGAAACTACTTTTAATTAATTTTTATGCCTCAATTACATTTTTAGGGTTTGAGCTGTTGCTAATTTTTTACTAAAATGCCAGAAGAATTTAGAGAACTTTCTTGGCACATTTCACTAAAAAAATTATTGTTTTTCAAGTGGTTAAAACATCTTAAAAACTAATGTAAACTAATGTTTTTAAGATGTTTTAACTAGTGATGGTACAATACCAAAATTTCTCCCTATTCCAATTCTTTTGAATACTTGTTAAAGTTTACTTTAGTTTTAAAAAAATTAATGATTTACATTACAACCATGATACATATATTAATAAAATAAACATAAAGCTTAAGAATAGAAAGTAATTGGACAATCTGGAATTGATCTTTTGAAACCCAAAAATTCTCCATTTATATGTAGATATGCATGCTTTTATTTTGTAATAGAAAATAAATCTGTATCTTATTGCAGATAAACTTAATATCACAACACTACTTCCAAACAAATTACAGCTAATTCCCTTTTACTTAAAAAAAATCCCATTGTCATCTTTGAAAACTGTTTTGTTGGCTGACATGACAACTGGGGAAGGGGAAAGGTAATGAGAAGATGCATTTCTTTTTTTCTAATGCTTCTCACAATCAGCATCCTTTGTAAATGATGTAATTCCATTGTATTTAACACCAAGATTTGGAAAATCACGCAATGAGCTGAACAAATAGTTATCACGAGTTAACCAAGTTTTGAATTCATTCACCCAAGTGAGGTTTTCCTAAATATACAATTACTTGTACTTATTTGAGGAAAAGAAGAATCAAACGAATGCCTAAACTAATTCATCTTAAAAAATCAATTTTTAAAACTCAAAACGGCAGTAAATTTAGCACAAACATTTATTTTTACTGAGAATCATGCAAAAAGCATTCGAAAATTTAACGTATTATGGCATCATTTGTGAATCATAACAAACTTCATAACTTTTTAACTAGTCAGTTATAATGGGAAAGTCGTTTTATCATTAAAAAAACATTTCTGTATAGGCTGAAACTAATTTAGTTTGAACTTAAATAATTTTTCAGAAACACTAATTTCTATAAAAGAACATTTTTCGACCCTTTTCACAGGTCTGCACCAGGTTTCACAAAAAGATTTGAACTATCTTCTTTAACAGTGGAATTCTTCTTGTTAAACCTGACACAGATCTGTAAAAAAGGTCTAAAACATTCGTTTTAAAAAAACTTAAAGTTTTGCCGAAAAAGTATTTAATGTGTTGTTCATGCATTTTATCATTATACTAAATATGAAAA